CAGGGTGCAGGGTTTAGAGTTTCGGGTCTAGGGGCCATGCCAAGCAGCAAGAAGTGACCCTTGGGTACCAGGACAGTGTACATGGTACTTGAGGAGTACTAAATTCTCAAACCGCTGTAGGAGGGAACGTCCGGGTGGCTCTAAGAAATCAGCTGCAGCATTGATACGGCTTTTCGGAGAGGAGAAGGACGGCTGCGTTTGGCACCAGTTCTGTTGGCCATTCGTGCTATTAACTAGCCCAGCTGCAACCCTCTCCTAGAAATGGTAGTTTCCCAAAATAGGGGGACCCCAATATAGACCCTAATATACTATAGTCCTTCTGAGAAGGACCCCCAAAAAGGGTACCCCTATTTTGGGAAACTCCCAAATAGTTGGAGGATCATAGAAGTGGATGCAAGCCATACACAGTCGGAAAGAATTGCTGGTGACCCTGAGGCCTACAACTCCAATCCCTAAACCCTAAACCCTAAACCCTAAACCCTAAACCCTAAACTCTAAACCCTAAACCCTAAACCCTAAACCCTAAACCCTAAACCCTAGACCCTATACACCCTACATCTCCAACCCTAGGGCTTTACCCCAAGCTTTTTGGCAACACGGGTATGTCTCGCACCCTAAACCCTAAACCTTGAGATTCCCTTATTCCCTATTACAGCCCCAAAATATGCCTTACTATAATGTAGTAGTCTCCATTTTCTTTTCCAGTATCCCTATATGAACCCTAACCCTATATACTTGTATAACCATTCTAAACCTCATATAGTAGTTTCCATTTTCTTTTTCCATTGTCTCAGTATAACCCAACTTTACCTTAGACACTAAAGCTTAAGTCCTAAATCCTAGATCCTAAACCTTAAACCCTAACCCTAAACCCTAAATCCTAAACCTTAAACCTTAAACCATTTTGAGTAAGCAAGGTAAGCTGCTTGAGCTGGTGTCAGACGAACCCGTGGCCTTTGCCCAGACACGGGCTTTGAAATTTGGGTTTTGGGTTGAGGGTTTAGGGTTTAGGATTTAGGGTTGAGGGTTAGGGTTGAGGGTTTAGGGTTTAGGGTTGAGGCTTTAGGGTTTAGGGTTGAGGGTTTAGGGTTAGGGTTTGGGGGTAAGGGTTAGGGTTTAGGGTTTGGGGTTAAGGGTTAGGGTTTAGGGTTTGGGGGTTTACGGTTTTAATGGTTTCGGGGATGAAAAGGGGCTTAAATCCGCAAAAAAGTATAAGGTACAATCTAGTGCTTCTGCAAGTTTGTGCTAGTGGTTGCATGGCGTTCAGTTATGTTGTCTTTCCGTAAAGTAAAGGGCCCAGAGGTTCATTTGGGATGCGAATTTGCATCCCACAATCTCATATCAGCTGTGATGCGCAATTGTTAGGAAGACATTTGCGGTCACTACAAACCTTGGGGATGACCTTAAATCAGTAACCCCTCAACCCCGAGCCCTGAACTACGCCTAAATCCTAAACCATAAACCCAACAACCCCACACCCAGCTGAAGCGCCATAGTAGAGAAAAGAAAGACTTTCAATCCCACTCCCAGGCCCCCATGAGAAAGCACCTCTCATATTAGTGTACACTGGGCTCATTATGAATTTTGGTGAGTGTATCTATCAGGTGTCTAGTTGGATAGATATCAAAGCGACTGGTCACATCAAGGAATTCTAATTGTTTTTGCGTTGTATTCTGGTACGGTACCATAGTTATGGGGAGTCTTCGAGATTAGGGGGCGGGGTGACTCATAATAGGAGGAAGAGGTTCACCCTACGGCCAAACCCGAAACCCTAAATACACTAAGCTGCACTAAGCCCGGAAGCCCTCAAACCAAAATCCAAAAGGATGGGAACTGCTGCGGACGGATTCGTGTATGACCATATCAAGCTCGGGCAGGAGCAGCGGTGTGTAATGTAGACCCCTGATTAATAAGCCACCTCCCCTTAATAGGGATTATAGAAGGGATCCTAACATTAAGGCCCTTAAAAGGAGGGGGTTTATTAATCATGGGTTTACATTAGGCCTTGGGCCTGTCAAAGTGCTGGCCCACGTCTTCGTGGTCCCTGTACTACGGCCTGAATTGTCTTTTGGTATATGATGGTGACACCAATGCTTGAGTTAGACTTCTAGAGCGAGCTGCATGCTCTTGCAGGAACAGATGCATTCTTTCCGGGCGGGCCGGCAGAACTTCGTGAAGGATGCATGCTCTAAAGATGCATACTTCTTGTTTTGTTTAGGGTTTAGGGTTTTGGGTGAGCTTTTAGGCAGCTGTGAAAGCAGCCGCGCACGTATTTTTAATAAATGTGGTCATTACCGCTAAACGTTAAACCTCAAACCTTAAACTCCAGACCCCAAATTCTGAACCCTAGACCCCAAACCCTGAGTCTTAAACCCTAAACTCTAGATTTTACAGTAGCATCTGTTTTCTTGTAAGCTTCTCCGGTCCCCCCAAACGAGGGTTACATAGAAGTGACAAGGGAGCTGAGGAAGTGAATTTGAGTTTCCGTTGTGCGGAAACCGTATTCTTTTACATCTCCATGTTATCGGGAACTTAGTTGAAGTTCCTTAGCCGCAGCCCGCTAATGGCATGATTTCCTTGACAAGTCTTAGGTCTTAGTATTTTGGGTTACAATGTCTGTGCCTGTCAGGTGTGCAGATCAAAGATTAGATGATTACTTGTTTTGCTGTAGGCCTTACAGGCCCCTCATGTTTTGAGGTCTTTTGGTGTGTCTTCGGGATAGAATGGGAACCCTAAACCTTAAAAGCCCTAAACCCTAAACCCTAAACCTAAACCGCATGATAGTGTCAGAGCCGAGGACTTGCAGGAGCGTTTCCCAGAGGAGAGTGAGGCCATCGAGAGATATGTGGAGATGGTCATCAAGTGCAACAAGGCCCCTTGGCCTCATTGCATGTGCCAAGGCTTTAGCTGCTCCAACCGCAGGTAACTTACTGGGGCTTAGGAGGGAATAAGGGAATATCTTATACATGGGTTATAGGGATTATATTCCCTTGTTCCCTCCTTAAACCCTCAGCAAGATAAGGACCCATGACTTTTGTCCTTTTCCTAGGGCTTGAAATTATCAGAGCCTCTATTTTTTGAATCCCAAAGCCCTACCCTCGGCAACCGCACCGGAGCTCTTCTCTAGAGAGCCGAAGATTGTTCTGAACAAGTTGAGTTCAGCTTAAGGTATATTGTTTTGGGTTTCAGGATTTGTTGTCAGGGCTGTATGATTCTGGGCTTAGATTTTCAGAGTTTAAGGTTGCAAGTTTTTTCAGGGGGAATCCCACCCCCAGTAACTATGCTTAACGAGGTCTTCTTGCAGAAGTGTGGCGCAAGCTTAAGATAAAAAGCAGACGATCGATGAGGGCAATTCTGGGCAACTCTGGAAGGATAGACTTTTGGTCTTAGGGTTTAGGGTGATCATGAGCTGACTGCGCGAATCGGGATTAATAGCTAAATGATAAGTAGATTCTGCAAGTGATGATCCCCTAAGCCCTATATTCCCCCAGAAGTAGATAGAATATGGCTTTGGGTATATCATAATTAGATCCCCATATACCCCATATTCTATCTACTTATGGGGGACTATAACGCCGAAATTCCAATTTTTCCATAACATGAAAAAGCAAGCTGCGTTCCCAACCTCCTCCAGACAAAACATTTCGTTAAAACAACAAGGCTTATGCTCTAGTTTTTTAGGGCTGCAATTTGCAGGGGTAGGTTGAACATCAATTCCTCCCTACATCATCCCTAGCTAGCCCCAAGCTTTTTTTAACAGGGCCCCCAACCCTAAGCCCTAAACCCTAAACCCTAGACCCTAAACCCAGGGTTAAGGAGATGTTCTGCTGGAGGCCTTTTTTTCCACAGCGAGCTCATAGGAGTGGTAGGATGGCTGGTGGTACCAGGATATTTTTGCAAAATTACGTTGTGGGCTCAGGGTACTCTGAACCCTAAACCGCTAAACCCTGAACCCTGAACCTTAAGCCCTAACCCTACACCCTAAATCTCTGAAGCCTAGATTTGGGGTTTGGGTTTTGGGTTTTGGGGAGAGCAAGGTCATTGGTGTGAACTTTCCGGTTTCTGGCACAGAGCTCACGACCAGGCCGCCGATCTTCACTTCTTTGGAAAGCTTTTCCCGCGAACCGTGGAGCTCATCATGGACTCATGTTTTGGGGATCCTGAACCCCAAACCCTAAACCCTAACTAGGGTGAAGGGTTTGCGGTTCAGGATTGATGGTGCAGGGCTGAAGGGCTTTGCCTTCAGTTAGATTAAACGACTGCTGTCTGTGTCTCAGAGTCACTCATGTAAGAAGAGGGTCCAGTGCTTGCATCGAACCGCAGCACCTCTTGTGTTCCGGAGTAGTCCCACGTTACTCCGCGCAAGCTAGCAATGTTGCCCCTGAGTCGCAAGGTGGGGTCCGATTGCAACAGTGAAATGCCTTGGCCCTGGCAAGACTAACGTCGTGATGTTATGGCTTTTATGTACATTGCGCTTTGATACATAAAGAATCCTACGTCTCAGTTAGTGGCCCCCAGTGGATTGTTCAAGTTTGCAGGGCGAGAGAACCCACAAACTCCCCCGTTCGGGTCCTTCCCCTTCCTTTTTTGACACTGCCAAGCCCTTAAACCCTGAACCCTAAACCCTGAACCCTAAACCCTAAACCCAAAGCCCTAAACCCGAAGCTCTAAACCATACCAAAAGCCAGGACCTTCTCCTTGGATCCAAGTTCAGAAAGCTCGCTAGCAGGACGGCCACTTGCTGTGACATTTGAAACCTTAAGCGTAAACCCTTAAGCCCTAAACCCTTAAACGTGTAAACCCTTAAGCCCTAAACCCTTAAACTGCCCTTACTCGTAAACCCTTAAACACTTACACCCTTAAACCCTGAAACCCTTCAACTGTCAAACCCTTCAACCCAAAACCCTTAAACGCTTAAACCCTCAACCCTAGCATCTGAACCAATCCTGAAACCCAAGGGAGTGAAGCTCAACTCAGTGGCCTTTAGCCTGTTGCTTTAGGGTTGGGATAGTAATAGCAATAATAGTACCAATAACCACTAGTAGGGTATGTATATATATATATATATCTATATATTATGTAGAGGGAAAATACAGGGATAATGGATAAGAAAATGGAAGCGATTATATTCCTCATGTAAAAGGCCACGTTGATGTGAAGCGGCAGGGTGCTGTCCTGAGGCGCCTGCGGCGTCCTTTAAACCTGAATCCTGAACTGGGTTTAGGGTTTAGGGCTTGGGGCTTGGGGTTTAGGGTTTGAGGTTAGGGCTTAGAGTTTAGGCGTCTCGTAGGGGATCTCCAATCGCTTGGACGCAGACACAAAAGGTCCGTGGTGTAAAAAAAAGTATCGCAGGGTCAGCGGCTTAGAGGTATCTCAGCAAACGGGTACGAGAGTTTATCAATACGTTCACCCCCTGGTAACCCCTTTATATGCCTGAGGTCCTTCGGGGCGCCCTATTTGAGAAACTCCCGCATGACATGGCCCGTTGGCAAATGCTGTTTGCTGGAGTTCAAGGTTTTGAACAGAGCCCTTGTTTAGGGGTTTAGGGTCTAGTGTTTAGGGTTTAGGTTTCAGAGGTATGGGTATAGGGATGAGAAGGGGCCAGCATTGCAAGACTTTGAGCCCCAGGATCCCAATGCCAAACCTTAAACCGAGAACTTTCAAGGTCAAAGATGTCATGGATGAGCTCTTCTCCTCGGACCTGCTGAAGTCTATCCTCTTGGGTCAGTAGCTCGATCCTTCATTTGACCTTACGCGAGTTGGGCACTTCGCAGTTTTTGGCCAGGATGTTGATAGGTTCCACTTCAAAATTAGTATGTCGGACGGGTAAATCAGGGAGCTCACCCAAAACCTCAATCCTCAACCCCAAACCCTAAACCCTACACCCTTGATTCGTGTCTTCCCTGCCTGTTTTAGTTGAGGTTTGGCGACTACGGCATGCGACTCCGCTGGCAAGCTCGAATTTAGGGGTGTGATGTGGTTCTGAAATTCTATCATGCTATTCCCAGGTTTTGCTTCCAAGTATCATACTCAAACTGTATTAACACGGGCAGAATCCCCAAACCCTTCATCCGAGCAAGGAACGCATTAGGAGCGTAGACCACACATGTATTAATCAGGGCAGGAAAAATCATAAGAAAAATCATAGCCCTAAACTTTAAACCCGAACCATTTTTTTGGGGTCTGGAGCAGGGGAAAGATTTTTGAGTTTGGGGTAGTGTGGATGGATGCTGCAACAGTGGGTTAAGGGTTTAGAGTTTACGGCAACGCATTGCCTAGCGGATGGTGCTTGAGGCTCAGGTTTCGGCATACCGGTGGTCATTTTTAGATGGTTTTAGAATGAGAAAGTCATAGTACGGTTCCTTTGCCTGCCATTCTTTTTCGGAGTTTGTCAACACAGGGGGTCCCCGTTACTCCCCCGCCCCCTAAAGAATATAAAGCATATTCGACCTCATCATGTGGACCTCCCAAAGGAGATGATCTTGTGCAATTGCCTACTGCAACCCCTATGTGAACTATAGTCTAAACTCCTTAAAGGGGGATATATAGGGGATTATATACTATAAGGGTGACTAAGGGGGATACGAGGAGTTTAGACAATGGCTCATGTAGGATTTGTTTTGCAGGTCGCTTGTTTGACGCTTTTGGGCGACGACCTTAGTTCAAATACCTCGAAAAGGGGTTTCATCTATTGTTTTTCTTTGGTTCCGGTTCCAGCTGCCTTAAACCTTCAACCCTAACCAGTTTTGCGACTCCGCACCTTTCCCTTATGTTGATGTACCTTCCTGGTCTGCCTTCCAGCTGCTTAATTTTTGTGACATGTTTTCGGGCATTCATAATAAGGGGTCTTGGGTAACCCCAACCCCCCAAACTTAGGACCCAATAGCCAGCATATGATAGTCACAGGGTCCTAATTTTTGGGGGTCGAGGTTACCAAAATCCTTTTAAACCCTAAACCCTAAACCCTAAACCCTAAACCGGGTCTGCAAAGACGGAATCTTCAACTTTGTGGATCTTAGGATGCCTTCGTCCGCCTCCTTCTTCATTCACGCAGGCATTGTGAGCCATTACTTGGAGCCTCGGACCCTCGACCCTAGAACCCTAAACCCTAAATCCTGACCCCTGCACCCTAGAAGTTGAAGGTCCAGGCCTAAGGGTCCAGGGTCTAAGGTTCGGGTGCTACGTGCAGGGAGTTTTCAGGAATTAGGGTGGCTGAGGGTTTAGCTTGCTGGGTCGAGGGTTTGGGGTTAAGAGCTTTAGGGGTTTAGGTTTAGGTTTGTCGCTTGCAGTATGAGTGACCTCTCAACCCTCAACCCTAAACCCTTTCAGGAGCAGGGTTGTCTGGAGATGGCAGCCTCAAGACCCGGGCAGCTGTGAAATGGAACGAGTTAGATTTGTAACCTTAAGGGGGAGAAAGGGTTTAGGGTTTAAGGTTTGGAACCTTGGGTTTTGGCTCCCAAATACCCTAAGCAGGGTATATTCCAGCAGGGTCCCAGGATCGAAGCCCAGTTGTACAAACCCTGAGGGTACAAAGGAAATCTCCCTGATACAAAGCTCCGTATACTATTTGCTTGAACCCAACCTTTTAGTAAGTGGCCTTTGTGAGCCCTTGAGCCCCACAAACACCTCGACAGCTGCGTCCCCTCAACCCCAAAGCCTCAAATCAACACTCTTCAAACCCAAGCCCGAAACCTTAAACCCCAAACCCTAAGCCCAAAACTCAACAAACCCAAGCCAAAAACCCAAGGGTCCTCAGACCCATCTTCTTAAGGCGTGAGCTATGGGCCCCTAGTAGGGGCCTTTAGTCCTGGGGTCCATTTTATGCTCAATTTGTACCCTAGGGTTTAGGGTTTGCGGTTGAGGGTTTAGGGTTTGGGGTTTAGAGTTTGGGTTTAGGCCATGGGTAGGACTTTGTTATCTTAGGATGGCGGCTACTACCCGGTAGGTGGACCTCAGCGGATCAGCCGTCTCTTGGTTGATGCAGTTGCATTCTCATTTAGGTTTAGGGTTTAGGGTAGTGGTTGTATACGGGTTACATTGGGATATATAGTCATTATGTAGGGCTTGTATAGGGCCTTGGGATATGACCCCCAAAATGGAGAACGAAATGGAAAAGACAATGGATAGTGAAATGGAAGCTGGGTATTGGCGTGTCTGCGTTCAATGGGATTAGTGATTACTTGCTGATTGTTAGTAGGGATTTGAACATAACATGGCAGCTACTGGGTGTATGTGTTGGGGTGTCGGGTACGGAACAAAGGAAGCAAAAACAGCTGAAACTATTACGTTCTCGGGTTACAGTATAGGTGGGCATAGGGATCCTATCCTCCATTCCCAAAAACTCTAAACCTTAAACCCTAAACCCTAAACCCTAAACCCTAAACCTTAAACCCTAAACCCCAAACTCCAATAATCAGCAGGGGTCTCGGGTTGGAAAGTTCGAGGTCTGGAGTGTAGGGCTTAAATTTTGAGGGTTGAGGCCTTGGGGTGTAGGGTTGACACAAGATTCTTCTAGCCATTAAGTCGTTCTTCTCGCACTCCACACCCTACACCCTAAACCCCAAGCCCTAGGCTCCAGACCCTCGTGGTTGCGTCTGCTCATGCGATGCGCAAGAACACAGGCCCCTTGAAGCCATTAAATGAAATCCCAAACCTTAACTAGGAGCCCGTCGCTCAGAACCTTTCATACCTCGTACCCCCCCCCTTAATAAGCCCGACAAAATTAGGGGTACCTTCTTGGAGATCTCCAGAATAAGGATTACAGGGTTTAGGGCTTAGTATTTTGGAGTGGATATTGGGGTTCTCCTTATTTTGGGCAATTACCAAGTAGCTACATTGCCACGCGCCCTGGGTAGCAGCAGGTGGGTTGATTCGCACCATTGAGAAAGCCGGCGGTCGGGTTCTGGTTAACGCGCCGGTAGACCGCCTAGACGTGGCCAAGAATCAGGCTCTCTGGCGGGGTCGGGTTTTACGATTTGCGTTTGTTTAGAGTATGGAATTCCCCGAAACCATGCTAAGATCCCCATATATCGCATCTTTTATCTGCCTCAGGGGGACTAGAGAGTTCAGGGTAGCTCTTGATGTTTGCGTGTAACGCTCTTCGAAGTTCAGCTTTTGACTGTGGTTTGGAGTCTGGGTTTGGGGTTGGGTTTGGGGTTTAGGGCTCTAAACCCTGAGCCTAAACCTTAAAACCCTAAACCCTAAACCCCCTAAACCCTAAACCCTAAGCCCTAAACCCTAAAACCCTAATCCTCAACCCTATTATTGCCCATCGCAGTCAGCCCCTGAGCCTTACAATGAGCCTCAACCCCAAGCTATCGACCCTAAATCCCAAACCCTAAATTGCGGATAAAAGAGGAAAAAAAAACACATCTAAATCCTAAACCCTGAATCTTACATCTCCAAATCCAAACTTCCTAAACCCTAAAGCCCCAGCCTAAACCCTAAACCCTAAACCCTAAACCCTAAACCCTAAACCTTAAACCTTAGAGCCCCAACAGTGGAGGTGACGGGCGTGACGTTGCAGAACGGAACTCGCGTGCCAGCGCCTGTGGTGGTCTCTGCCGCCGGGGCCGAGGCAACGGCGAAGTTCCTGGGTTGCTGTTAAGGTACTTAAGTTAAGTTACCATAATGGGTTTAGGGTTTAGGGTTTAGGGTTAAGGAACTTAAATTAAGTTACCATAAAGGGTTTAGGGTTTAGGGTTAAGGAACTTAAATTAAGTTAGCATAATGGGTTTAGGGTTTAGGGTTTAGGGTTAAGGAACTTAAATTAAGTTACCATAACGGGTATATGTAGCAATTGACATGCTTTCCCCACTATAGTGATTTAAGTTAAGTTCCTTGACAGCAACCCAGGTTCTTTCCCCAATTCGCACCGCCGGAGCGGCCCGGCTTTGATAGAGGGGTGATATAGGGTTTGTATGGGGTTGATATAGGTTTCGCATCGGATTCATCCGGAGTTTATATAGGGTTCATGCGGCGTGTATGGGGGTACAGGCCCAATAATGGAGAATCAAATGGACAGGAGCTGGAAAATTACATGGAACTGGGAGGCATGTAGGGGTTTAAGGCATTATGCAATGTAGGGGCCTAAACGACTATCAATATTTTGGCCTTGTATTGCCTGCAAAATTATAGCAGAGGGCGCCTCAAATTGTCACATGGACCTCACAATGATAATCATATTAGCTATAGTCTCAACTCCTTAAAGGAATTTTCTTTTTGGGATTATAGGGGCCCGCTACAAGTGTTGTTAAGGGGGATACCAGGATAGCTCATATAGGCGCTTGTACTGGATGGCTTGGGGTTGAGTGGACGCTGTTGCACATGTACTCGCACCTTGCGCAGTCAAGGCGTTTCTAGTTACCCCCCAAAATAGGATCTTATTCTCGTCATATGATAGTTATAGGGTCCTGATTATAAGGATTGGGTTAGCCAAGATCCCCTTCTTTAGGGTTTCGGGGTTTCGGGGTTTAGGATGTAGGGGTTCTTTAGCGATCACAGGAGCAAGATATTGTTTACTGATGCTTTGTCAGAAAGCATCCCCATAATCCCACCCTAAACCCTAAACCCTAAACCCTAAACCCTCCTTTATTCCAAACCAGGCACAGTGTCATTGACACCTTCAGGCCCCGACCATGAACCTTAAGCCCCAAACTGCCAAGCTTAAGCCCTAAACCCCAAGCCCCAAAGCATAACTCTAAACCCCAAATCCTAAAGCCCAGACCCTAAACCTCAAACCCTAAACCCTAAACCCTAAACCCTAAACCCAAAACCCGAAACCCAAAACCCAAAACCCTAAACCCCACATCCTAAACCCTAACCCCTCAACGCCCGAACCACCGTCGTCCCTTGGGCCCTGGCAAGCTTAGGAAACTCCAGGGTGGCATCAGCCACGTCTATGCATTTCTGGGCCTCCGGGGTAGCGCGGAGGAGCTGACACTTTTCCTTCTTCAAGTAGGGTCCTTAGATTAGGGGTACCATTTTGGGGTCCCCATAATAAGGATTCTAATACTTGGGGGTCTATATTGGGGTACCATTAAGCGGACATATAGGAGATACATCCATGTACATATTTTTAGGTGCATATGTACACATGTATGTATGTGTATGGAGATGGGTTCAGGGATTTGGGTGGGCCCTTTCCTAGAGAGTAGGCAGGTCGACATTCACTCACTCATTCATACTAGCAATAGACATGAGCTATAGTCCAAACTCCCAGGGTTATACGGGCATTTTATAGGGGTCGATTATAGGGGCTATTGAGGGAGATACTAGGAGTTGAGACTATAGCTTACATGGGCGAAAGGGTTTCCCCAAAATCACGAGGTCCCACGTTGGGAGCCCTTCAGACAAGGATGATCCCATTTATGGGTATGGTCCCCCTTAAGTAGATAGAATATGGGGTATATGCAAAGCCATATTCTATCTACTTGAGGGGGACTATACGTAAGGTGCGCAGCATGTTTGGTAGCAACATCCTGAGGTTCATGGTGCTGCTTAATTCAGATTGGAGTTACGGGTTTGGGATCAGGATTTTCAGTTTAGGGTTTACAAAGAGGGTTTAGGGGCCAGGTTTTCGGGTTCAGGGTTTACAACTTTTACGGTGTGGGGAGCTGCGTCTGTAGCGAAACTGTAAAGCCGAAAGCCTAAACCCTAAACCCTAAACCCACAAAAAACTCAAACATTAAACCCTAACCCGCTACAAGCCTAAACCCTAAACCCTAGACTTTTGAAGCAGAAGTGCTGAGGAATCTCAGTTCCTCCAACCTCTGGGCTCTTCCCTCCAAAGACATCGAGGGAGATTCCGCCAGGCATAGCTCGAGTTTGGGAAGGGGTTCAGGGGTTTAGGGGTTTAGGGTTTAGGGTTATGGTTGGTTTGAGGTGTAGGGTATCCTACTTCCTAATACTTCGATCCTAGATGCAGAAGCAAGACTAGGTGGCACTTTGGGCTAATCCTTCGCTTACCTTACTATTTCCTAAGCGAACCTATTCACAAATGAAGCTCGAGATCTCGAAGCCTGCACCCCTAAACCCCTAAACCCTAAACCTAAGTTCTGGACCTTGAGACCTTAGAACCTGAATTCTAGACCCCCAAGCCGCAAGACAGGCCGTTGAGTTGAGTTGCTGTTAAGGAATTTCAATTAAGCTACCACAATGGGTGTATATCGCAATTAAAGGGTTCTCCCAATATAGTAATTTAGATTGAGTTCCTTAACAGCAGCTCAGTAAAGCAGGTACTATGCAGACCCCTGGCCTATTGTGGACTCGGGCAGCATGCTTCTTTTCGTGGGCTTCCCCTCTGCGAAGGAAAGCTTGTCCTCAAAGTCTATGGCGTTGATGCCGGGTCAAGGGGTTTGGGCTTATCTTGGGGCGGGTTGAAGGTTCAGGTTTCTCTGGATTTAAAACTCAAAGTATGAGGTTCTGGGGTTTAGCCGTCTAGGCTTTTCGCGAGAGGTTTCAACGCCTAAGCCACTATACATCCTCAGCCCCCAACCCTGAACGCAAAGCCTTAAACCCAAATTCCCCAGAACACTACACTCTAAACCCTAAATCCAGACTCTAAACCCCAGTTCATCTACCCGTAAATCCTAACTAAGGCGACCCCAATGTAGACTCCCCCCCAAAAAATTCTTATTATGGGGACCAACGCCGAAACCCCTAAACCCCTACGTAACCCCTAAGCATTGCAGCCCTATCAAGCTTTTGCTTCCAGGACCCGGAGGCAGCCTCCCGCCAGCCGGGAAAGAGCACTTGCGTCATCATTACGGAGGACAGTTTAGGGTTTAGGGTTCAGGGTTTAGGGTGTGGGATTTCAGGGGGAAAGAGCACTTGCGTCATCATCGAGGAGATTGGTGCGTAAATCACGTCAGAATTTCGGGTTTAGGGCTTGGGGTTTTGGTCTTACTTGAAGGTTCAGAGTAATTATAATCAAATTGTAATTGTAGCTAAGACCCACTACAGGCCCCACAGTTCCTTGTTAGGGTGATGTTGGGGTCGTAGCAGTTATAATTGCCGCGCAATTTCCCTAACCATCCCGAACCTCCACATGCAGGCTGTAGGGTTTAGGGTGTATGTTCCAGGCCATGCGTGGCTTCTCTTTTTTTGATCCTAGGAAGCTCTGAGACTGTTCGAGCATTTTGGGCATGCTGTTGCTTGTCTGTTCCAACGCGTTTGAGCAAATCGATCTTTGCCTTGCAAATGTAGGATTCTGCCTGCAGATTCCCTGACACTGCCTGGAACTCATCCCACCCTAAGCCCCCCTAAACCCTAAACCCTAAACCCTAAACCCTGAACCCTAAGGTACCCTGCAGTCTCCCTGATAGCAAGATATGTAGCAGCTTCCTGTAGTGTGAGCTTCGAAGCAAGGCATCCAGGAGAATTCTGCAGATCACCCCTGATTCCTGACATTTTAAATTTTTAAACACAAGCAACGGTTTAGGGTTTAGGGTTTAGGGGTTTAGGGGTTTAGGGGTTTAGGGTTTAGGGTTTAGGGTCTAAGCGATCTCGAGCAGAATCTGCCTTCAGACAGGGAGCAGGCACCACAACTTTCTTGGTCCATTTGGAATTTCTTGAGTCAGCCCGGTGTGGGTCTGGGAGTCAGGGTGCCGGTCATCATTTTTGGTTCCTACATGCTCTTGCCATCACTTGGGTAACGTTGATGTAGTTGCAAACTACCACAAGGCCAGGCATTGTGTTGCATGCAAGGTGATAAACCCTAAGACCCAAACGCGTGGTTGTCAAAATTATGGTCCCTTTTTGGGTACCCTAAATGTTAGGTGCCGTATTAAGTATAATAGGGATCCAAAAAGGGACCATAATTTTGACAACCACCCAGACGCGAAAATCCAAACCCCAAAGCCGTAAAGCCTTTTGACTCCAGTCGCGACAGGCACGGGAGGAGTGGTTTGGCTCCTGGAGGCAAGTTAACCCAGTACCCGAATGTAGAGAGGTTTAGGGTTTAGGGGTTTGCGCTGAGTGCAGTCCTTTCTTTTCATGTTGAGCAGGATTGCAGGGTCGCTTGGTAGCTCCTAAACCCTAATGCCTCTTTACCGTGTTTTAGGCTCCGTCGCTGCTAGGTTTTAGTATTCTGCGCAAGACGCTGCCACTGTGTCGGACAGCCTGTTATGTGTGAGCTGTAGTCTAAACTGCTTAAAAGGGGCATGTAGGGGCACTATATAGGGTTCCTATTATCGGGTCTATTAAGGGGGATACTAGGAGTTTAGATGATGGCTCATGTAAGAGTTGAGGCAAGGCTCTCATGATGGTTGCCTTCACTTTAAGCCCCAAAGCCCGAGACTTACTGGTGTTGAGTAGGGAATATGGGAATGCATTATATAGGGCCTATATCGGGACTGTATTTCCTTATCTGGGTTGCTGTTAAGATACTTAGTTTAAGTTACCACATTTTGGGAAGCCATATCAATTACCATGTATACCCATCATGGCTCCTTAACAGCAACCCAGTAAAACCTATACTCCAGACCCTAAACCCTTCTTCCCTACCCGCGAAATGTCGGGTTTAGGGCTTGTTTCGTTGCTTTGTTCAGTTTGGCAGTCTGGGGCTCCAATCTTAGATGCTTTAGAGTTTAGAGTTTAGGGTTTAGGGCTTAGGGTTTACGGCTTAGGATTTAGGGTTTACGGCTTAGGGTTTAGAGTTTAGGGTTTAGGGTTGTGGGGCTTAGGATTTCGGATTTAGGGTTTAAGGTTTAGAGCATGCTTTAAGCTGGGAGGATTCGGCTAAGAGTTTCCAGAGCCCTTGCTGGCATTGGATCGAATGGTCAGGGCTCAGAGGCCAACTTGGTAGTGAGGACTCAAAGCCCTGACCTGGGACCGGCACTTTGGACTTCAGATTGGTCCGCCTTAATGCCCTAAAACGTAAGCCCTAAACCCTAAACCCTAAACCTTACACCCTAAACCCTAAATCCCAAACCCTAAACCTTAAGCCCTAAACCCTACACTTGAACCATCCGTCCCAAGCACGCTACCCTCAGGCACGCAAAGCAGGGCCGAAGGGGCCAAGACTACGAAGCACTGAAGAGGAGGTTTCAGGACATAAGGGATTAGGGTTCAGGGTTCAGGTTCAAAGTGCAGGGTTAGGGTTTAGGATTTAGGGTCAGGGTTGAGGGTTTGGGGTTTAGGGGGTTCCACGACATGCCTAGAGCTGTCATTATGCGCTGTCTGAAGATCTCTCTGAGAGATCTCGCGTTTAGGGTTTAGGGCTTCGATTGTTTGCGTGCATATATCGTTGCAAGGGTTTTTCCACATTTGCCAAGCCCTTACAATATTCCCTGGCCACTGAACCCTAAATCTCAAATAGTACGTTCCATTGCATTTTCCATTTTCTTCTCGTTTGGGTTTCCATTATTCCTAGATATCCTTACACGCCCCTTAAATTCCCTACGTAGCACAAGCAGCACAGGGTGTATGATAGGTACCTATAAAAGGACTAGGGGTCCATGCCAGGGGCTCATATTTCCAACCTTAGGGACCCAGAGCACTAAACCCTAAGCCTAAAACCATCAACTCTAAACCTTCAACACTAAGACCTGATTTAAACCGCCCTAAGCCCTCAACCCTAAGCCCTAAGCCCTAAGCCCTAAACCCTTGACCCCAAATGCTAGGATGGCATGGTGAAGGGACTGCTAAAGCACTTTCCTCAGCTCGATGGCAAGGCGAGGCTGTCCAAAGGTTGGAGTTGCCCCACTAAACCTAAAACCTAAAGGTTTAGGGTTTAGGGTTCAGGGTTTAGGGTTACAAAGTTCGGCCTAACTGGGTTGCTGTTAAGGAACTTAAGTTAAGTTACCATAATGGGTATATATACTAAATAATGGGGTTTCCCCGATATAGTAACTTAGTTTAAGTTCCTTAACAGCAACCCAGCTAGACACAAAGTTCGGTTCGGGTTGAGGGTTGATTGCCTAAACCCGCAAATTTTGGTTTGGGCCTTAGGTTGATAATCCTCATCCTACGTTGTAGACTTTAGAGTTGTGCCCTCTACGGTTTAGGGTTTCGGGTCCTGTAGCCTTACTACCTTTCACCCTACATTCCAAACCCCAAATCCCAAACTCCAAGCCCTAAATCCCAAGTCCCAAACCATAAGTAAATTGCCAAAGTTGATTCACCAATCCTGAATTTTGGCCATCCACAACACAGGGCACTTTCCAAAACCCGACGTATACAAATCTTCATGCACTCTGAACCCTAAACCCGAAACCCTAAATCTGTGGGACAGAAGAGAAGTGGGTTCCCTATTTTACCAGCCTTTTTCTTGCGCAATGGGAGCTTGACCCCTGTTTCAGAGATGTTCGGCTTCAGTAACACGGACACACGCGGGACAGAAGAGAGGCGCCATAATAACAAATAACCTAAACCAATATTTTGATGATTCCTGAAAATCACCCGCGCCCGTGACTGTACGCCCATCATGCGACAGCAAGCCGAAATTGGAATGCGCCATACTTCACTCCCAACCTTGATACTAGTAGTAGCAATAGCAAAAAGAAACAAAAAGAAAGAGAGTATCATCAATAATATTCATTGTAATAATAGTAAACATAGAAATAAGTTTTTAAAGGCGCTGAACCTGAACTGGACACCCCCAACCCTAGACCCTAAACCCTAAACCTTGGGAACCACCCTGTGGAACCATCAGATTGAGTACGTGGAGATGGCGAGTCCGCTCTCCAATATCCATTACCTGCTTCTTGGTCATGTTCAACATGAGGGTTTGTACATATGAGTCACTGCCAAGATTAGCCTTACCAAGGGACCATTAAGGGTGGACGTAGGGGTCCCTCTTGTAGTCTAGTGTAATCCTTCGTCTAGTTGCTAATGAGGAGCCAATGTCCATTCGTTATCTGGATGATATTGACTGTAGCTTAGTTTAGAGTATCACGGGTTGTTTACGGGTGATATAGGGGCTGTATAAAAAGTCCCCAAAATGCTTCCATGTGCGTCAGTTGTCTCCATATATTCGCATCCTAATGGCTACTATACATACCCTTGCACAAGCCCTAAGCTCTAGCAAGTGATAGTGACGATTCCAAAACCTACTACAACCATAGCACTAACACACCATAACCCTCGGTCCCATGAATGTCCCTATTAACATATATAACCCTTATATAGTCATTATATATCCCCTATATCTCTAGGTAGTCCCCATATTAACCCCCATAAGCTACAAGGGTCCCTATTAGGGGTCCCTCCTAAAGTCCTTAGATAATGTGGGTTCTAGCCGAAAAGGGGCATGTGCCAGGTATTTAGGGACTCCAACCTGGAGCGTCCACAGTGGGGTTTCATAGTGTCAGCCTTAGAGCAATTAGCAAACCCTACGGTTTAGGATTTAGGGTTTAGGGTTTAGGGTAAGCCAACATGGAGCCTCCAAAAGGAGGCCTTTGTAGATTACTGTCTTTATGTCGAGGGCTCATATGAGCTGTAGTCTAAAGTCTGTAAAGGGTGGTATATAGGGGATTATATAGGGGAGTATTACATGGGCTATTAAGGAGGATATCAGGAGTTTAGACTATAGCTCACATGAGGTTCCATGTTTGTTTAAGGTGGGAAACTCCCAGACAGCACCCCATGCAGTCCTTTACGTAAGCTTTGCTGTCGCGAGAACCGTTTGCAGACAGTGCCCTAAACCCTAACCACCTAAAAACGGAAATCCTAAGCCCTAAACCTCAAAGCCCTAAACCAGAAATCATTTAGGGCTTAGAGTTAAAACAAAACGCCAGAAATCCGAACCCCAAACCCTGAACCACTTGGGTCACTTGGGGGTCAGGAACCGAGCTGCCAGTTACGGCCTACAGCATCCACCCAGCCGCTACACTGTCGTTCGGTCAGGAATTGGAAGTAACAGGGTTTAGGGATTTGGGTTTAGGGTTTAGCATTCTTGCGTAGCGTTTACGGTTTTCGTATCCGGTTGAGGGTTGCTGGGGTTTGGAAGCCTTCCCCCTAAGCCCTCGAGCCCTCGAGCCCTCAAGTGTAAACCTGATTCAGGCTGCGTAGTTGCATCATGCACGGAGACTCACATGGAGAAGAAAATCAAGTATGAAATGGAAAGTGGCTTATATAGTGCCTTATACAGATGGTCTTTGGCCGCTGGGCAGTGCGAGCAGGTTTGAGGCCCAAGCAAGGCTCATTTCGGGCTTTTTAAGGCGCTGTTTTGGAGAGGCGTGCCAGGGGGGCTGTAGTACAGGGTTTCGTAAGACAGCCCTGCGCGTTTTACACTTCCGTCTGAAGCCTCTGCTATTGCAGAGTAATCTAGAGCAAATATCATGAAACCTTTGATGTGGACATTTCAAAACTCACTGAGAATCCTTGTGCCGTGAGGTAATTGCAAGGTTTTCTCAGGCATGGAGGGGGGGCCTCAGCAGGCTTTCTAGGCATTTCCCCTAAACCCTAAACTCTACAACCAAAACCCTAACCACTTTTCATCGCGAAGGTCCCTGACCCTAAACCCTAAATACCCTAAAAGCCCCTTAAAACCCTAAACCCGAACCCTAAGTCCCTAAGCCCTAAACCTGAGGTTGCGGAGGGTCTTCGCCCCGGTCGCCTGGCCGGGGTCGAGGCGTTGGATTCTCCACCATCCATACAGGGGCTATATAGGGTTTATATAGGGATAATGGAAAAGGAAATGGAAACTACTCCAGTATATAGTATCTATGGGTATATAGGAGGTATATAGGGATAATGGAAAAGGAAATGGAAGCTATTATAGATACAGTCTAAATTCTTCAAGGGGGGTTATATAGGGGATTAGGGGTTTAGGGTTTATGGTTGAAACTCCTTAGAGGGGGCTTATATACGGAATTAGGGTTTAAGGTCTAAACTCCTTAAAGGGGTTATATGGTTGTATAGGGGAGTATTTACGGGGTTATTAAGGGGGATACTAGGAGTTCAGACTTTCCCTCACATCAGGGCTTGTGTAAGGATGTACCTAATCGGGATATATATATATATATGTATGTATGTTGTGATTCTCCAACTGCCAGGTCACACGCAAGCTGACTGTGAAGCCTCCGTCTGTGCTTGTACAGGCTCAGTGTGGGGGAGGGACCGGGCTTCAGTAGGAGCGAGGGATAACCTGAGCC